ACTTAATACTTTGAATAATATTGTATAGTGTTGCGATAGTTATAGTTTTAAAACAAAAACTGATATCTTTATTATGTCTATTATTTCTATAAAAGCAAATTGAATTAAAACATTTATAGTCACTGTCCTGAAAGACTGATGAGAAAAAAGAATTAATTTCAAATGGGTTAGATAAGCCAGGAGAAATGTGTGTTGTTTTGGTTGACTGTATTTTCATTTCTTTAAGAGCTTTATAAAATTTAGATTTAGAAGACTGTTTATTTAGATATTCTAAATACGCAGCTTTTTCACGCCTTAATGAAGCTAATGCAAAATTTCTGAGTCTTTTATAATTATTTCAATTTTCAGAGTTTTTATGTAGTTTATACCTCGTTAGAGCTCTATCACGTTCTCTGAATATTAATCGAATAGTTGGAGTTAACCAGGGTGATTTGGGTTTGCTTATTTTTGCTGTTCTGAGAGGGCAATGACTATTAAACAATGTAATTAATGCATCCGTTAGATAATTGACTTTGCTATCAATATCTTGAAAATATAATATATTAACCCAAGGAATACTGTGTAGATCTTGTGAGAAGGATAGAAGGTCAAAGTTGTTGTAGTCTCTATAAGTTTTGAATTTTTGCTTCTGTGAATTGTAATTAATATTTAAATGGCAATATACCGCTCGATGATTTGTGAAGTGATCTGCATTTAGTGTGCCATGGTTAGTACATACATTTGGTGTATTTAAAAAAATTGGGTCAATTAGCGTTTCTGAATGGTCTGTAATATGTGTAGGCTCGTCAATGACCTGGACAAGTCCAAAAGCATCCATACATTGACCTAAAGGATTGTTAATATTGAATAAATTCACATTTACATCACCTAAGATTAAAATATTATCATAACTAGTAACAATTGTTGGCAATAAGTTGTCTAAATGTTAAATAGCATTTTTATCCGGTGGTCTGTACATAGTACCAACACAAAAAGAAATATTGTCTAGTTTAAAAGTGATCCAAAGGTGCTCTAAACAAGAAGTATAAAAACAGTCATCAAAAATTACAATCTTACTTTGGAAGCAAGTCCTAATAAATATACCCACCCCTCCGCCATGACGATTCCTGTTCTTTCGAAAGAATGAAAACCCAGGAATGTTGACATCAGAGTCAGGTATATCATCAGAAAGCCATGTTTCAGTTACAGCTAGTATGTCAAAATCCTGATCTTTAATAACAACTATCAAGTCAGCGATACTAGTTAAAATTGAACGCGTGTTAACTTGTCCGATTTTCAAATTATTAAATTGCAATTTCTTTTTAACCATAGTTGATTTTTGATTGAAGGTGCTGAATATAATTTTTATAAACGAGGCATGCTTTGTCATTGGCGGAGTGGTTGGTATCAAATTTCGTTCTAAATTTGTTATTGTTACTGGTGCAATTTATGCATTTTCTATGAGTAGAGTTACATTGCTTGGAATCATGGTCATTTGAACACATTATGCATTTAACAGTTGATGTGCATGTTTTTTCAGTATGACCGAAAGAGTGACATTTTTTACATTTTATGATTCTAAGGTGATCGTTAACAAAGCATTTTTTCCACCTTACATATAAAAACCCTTTAGCTATAATACATTTGCGTAAATTTGGTGTTGTTTCAAAAATTATATTGGATTTGTTATTAAAATTTAAAACTGCTACAATTTTCATTTCATTAAGGCTAAAATTATCAATTAGATCATTTAATGTAAAGATTTCGTTCAAAAGATCATCATTAGGTTGTTTGTCATTTAGATTTACATCTTTTAGTATAAGACGTGGATTAAATTTATTTATCTGTTCCACACTGTATTTCGAACCTAAAGCATTATTAACACAAGATTTTAAATTTTTTAAGGAATCATCATTTTCGCAATTCACTATTATTCCACCTCTAACTTTTTTAATACTGTCGATACGGATATTTTTGTCACCAGGATGAATATGCTTCTGAATGTCCTTTAAAACATCATCATTGTTAATTGAGGATCCTTGGGATTTTATCACTAAACCGGGTTTATTTGTTGATGTATTTTTAAGTGCACTACTATAGGATGCTAGTTGGTTTTGACTATTAGAAGAAATATTTGTACTCACTCCAGATCCAGAATTATTAGAATTAATTATCATACCCAGTTTTTCTTTTAAGAGCTCATTGCTGCATTTTAACTCGCTGTTTAGGGAGCTTAATAAACTATTTTCACGTTTCAGAGATTCGTATTCAGTTTTTTCGGGTACAACGCCTACCAGTTTTTGCGGCAAAAGAACTTTGCAATCATCGCAGAACCAAAAAACGCTATCACTTCTGTTGATAAATTTTAAACAATCATCTTTTACACATACACAGTGTGAATGAAAATACTTTTTACAACTAAAACACTGTATTTTACTAGTTTTCACAACAAAATTGTCGGAGCAACGGTCACATATGACTACGTCGCCCGCCATGTTGAATAGTGATGTACAATTCCCGTATACTCTTCCCTATGAGCATCGGCTTAATGACAATATTTCTAATATTTCTAGTTTTATTTTGGAGTTTTTCCGCAAACTATCTCCTGACATGGACCTCCGATTTAAAACTTTAATAAACATATAAGTTTAAACATAGCAAATACGGTTATCATTGAATACAACATCTTCCTGCTAATACACATCTGCTTATTATATTTGAATGTTGGTTTGATCCATTATTCCGCCTAATTGGCTAACAAATATTTGTGTATGTACACTAATCAACGTTACTAATCAATGTGTATATAACGGAATTTAAATAAAGCTTGCGGTGTGCATAGGATGCTTCAATCAATATTTATCGTATATAAATACGATTGTTTAAACATGTTTTTTCTACAATCACATGGATATTAGCTTATTTGCGCACAGACTATAAAACGAAAAAATATGTTATTCATGTCAAATTTTTATTGACTCTAGAGGCAAAAGCTACAACATCTTCTGAGTCGTTTTTTGTTAATTGCATGCACTGGTATCTGATATGAAATGTTGGTTTTCTTTCCAAACATTTAAGATAATTTTTCTATGGTTTCTACGAAGTTTAGATCTGTAATATTCTTAGGTAAAATTAGATTGATGTACTGTTCGTGACAAGGAGTTTCCAATTTTCTTAAAATCAGACATTTTCATATCTTTTGTACCAAATTTCGAATGTTAAACCAGATTCAGGATCGAAATGAAATTCTGTTATACTGTGTCCTAAACTTTCCATTCTAAATTCTTCTCCAACTTCAGTCACCGATTTCGGGTTAGCTGAATCAAAGCTACTTGATAATTGAGATAAGAATTCTTGCTGACTTTTTATAAGTAACTCTTGTTGCTTCGCTGTTTGTTCTTGTTGAGCTTTCATGAAAGTTAGCAATGTTTTTTGAAACTCTTTCATGTTTTGGAGATTTACAATAACTGTTGTGGACGAGTGTCGAGTATTTAATAGTTTATAATATAAATATAAATCAACAGTTAATAGTAGTTTACGTAACAAGTCCCGAAAGTGGTCTTTTACTGGACGAGTGGGCAAATTGCAGGGCAAGCCGCAGGCATTACTTATCTGTAAGCACGGTATTTCAAAATTATTCGTTGACGTGAGATTTTTTGAACTGCTTACATTATAATGAGTTTCTGAGACAATTTCTGTGTTTGAGCTATCTGCTTCTTGAATTTTGTTAGCTATATCAATCTAATTCTGAACTGAATCCTCAATGTAACCTTCGGCAACTTGAGATGAACTCCAACCACCATGTAGTTATAAGTTGATGATGTCAGCACCTCCGTTAGCTAGAAAAGTCGCCGAAATACGCCTAAAGCAATGCCCTGTGTATTCCTTTAGGTTTGGAAATCTCAAAAATATAGCTATGTTGGAGGGAGCATTACCTACAGTATGTATGCCTACAGGTTGTTTATTATATTTTCCTTTATTGTAATTAATAAAGAGACGTCGATACGGAACGTTGGTTGCGCGTAGCGCTATATACTTCCTATACAAATTTAGCTCTTTTTCCCCATTAATAATAAATGATCTTGATTTGTTTATTTTGGTGTTTTAAATTTTAACCAAAAGCATAGTTTGTTTGTCTTATATGTCGTCAATTAATATATTAGTGATTTCGTCCCGTCGACATGCACCAGTATAACCCATAATCAACAACACTTTGGTCATTAGATATTGTTCGTCTAAAGCTTCTACTAAAAACTTATCGATATCCTCTTTATTAAGTACTCTAGACTTCTTTGCTTTATACCCTTTGGATTTTTTCTTCATAAACGCTGTTAATTTAAAATATTTGCTTATGTCGATATTTCTTCTGGTACGTAGCATGGCCTTTAGCATCGAATATAAACTCCACAACGAAGAAGATTTCAGCGTTTCTGATTTTTTTTGACAAATATGCCAATAACACTTCCTCACAAATGCTTATTACCTTCTTTTCCAGGCACCACTTTTCAAAAATTTGGTATGTTTGTTCATGTCGTGTCTGGGAGGGACTTCGACGGTAATAAATCAAACGTTGCGTGGGTGGCCGCCTTAAGAATTTCATCTGGTATAATTTCATCTTCCATTAATTCACAATCAAATGCATCATTTTGAATATCCATTTTATAATAAATGTCACGTTTTCAACTAAACGTCAAAATATGTCAAGTTATTTTAAGGCGATTTTAAATCAGATACTATGTCTTGAATATGATTGACTACACTGATATAAATCAAAAACAATGACGTCACATTGAATGTAGTCTTGAAATGGTCAAGAAATCAGATACTACGTCTTGAATATGATTGACTACACTGATATAAATCAAAAACAATGACGTCACATTGAGTATAGTCTTGAAATGGTCAAGTTTAATGTGACTACAGTAAAAGCGTGGTCACCACAGGTATGAAATGTCAAATGAAATGACAAATGTAAAACTTTAATTATTTACTCGTTGGTTTTGGTTGTGTTATTCGGAAGAATGGACGCATTTAAGGTTTTCGTGAATGGAAAGCCAATTTATTTTCAAGACAGGCGAGATGTATTAATGAACATGGCAAAAGGTTTGATTTAATTATTCATTAAATAATTGGCTGGAAGATTATATAAAATTTAATAAACTAGTTCATACACCCGAAGTCTAGAAAATACCTCTGTTAATTATTCAATATTTTTAGATGATGAATACCTTTTGGATTACATACACAGGGCAGTTCTAACTAATTCACTTGCCCAATATGGAATTTATAATCATATGAGTGATCAAATTACTGTGGAAAGGGAAGAAAACCAGGAATTTTTAAATGTGGATAACTCAGAAAATGAATGCCTAGGTAATTTATAATTTATAGTAATATTCAAACCATAAAGATTAATAGTGCTTATACTATATGTCTAAGGGTGAGATGGTTTGTTTTTGAGGAATTTTAATAATGAACTATTAAAATGCTATTTATATGGGAATAATTTATTTCTAAAAGTATAGAGCTTCATTTTAAATCAATTTGTATTTAACTAATTTTTACAATGATAAATTGTGTGACAACATTTTTTACATTGTGATTCACTAGTCAAGAAAGCAGCCAACCAAATACTTTTTGGACCTGGCCTTGTCTTTGGCCTGACAAAATCGGTAGTAATTAAAGAACATTCCCTTGTGAAATTTAAGGAAAGATGGGATGAAATAAGGAACTGCAGAGTTGCCAGGGAGCTCTTAAGTTATCCTGACAACACTACAGCAAAAAAATACCTGCCTATGTCTAGATAGAATCTGCGCATAGTCGCAGGCATTCTGGCTGGTCATTGCTAAGTACGAAAGCATCTTTATATCATGGGAATGTCAGAATCCGCACTCTGCAGAGGGTGCGAACAAGAAGATGAGACCATCGAACATATTCTTTACGATTGCTCGACGCTCTCATTTATTAGAAAATTTTGTGTTCGGCGAGTATCGGCTAACACCGACCGATATAAGAGAAGCCCCTTTTGGAGACGTTGTCAACTACATTAAATCTGTAGGCTGGCTCACGAGCTACGATGCCTATCATCTTAGGAAGATGCACAATGGGCCTAGTGATGCCTAAGTGCCGAGGAAGTAACCCACTTTCCACACGTTACAGATACAGATTGTGATGTCCTTAATATTTATAAAAAAAAAAAAAAAAATTATCTAATTTTTTTAAGTATATCAAAATGGGAAATCAATGAAAATCTTCCTTTAGAACATAATTTTTACATTATTTTAACCATTAACTAACATTTTAATTGCTGTTTAAAATAATATTAAATATATTTTCTTTTCTAACCCTTTTAGAAATGGAAATGGACAATATTTTACATACAAATACATTAAATAACAATCTCAACAAAAATGTATCTGATCATTCAATTATGGTTTGGACAAATAAGGCGCACCCTTCAAAAGTAGATAATGATGCTACAAGGGAATTAATAAAGTTAAGAGGATCTCATAAATTTAAGAGAAGGTTAGATGACAAAAGTCACAATAAGTTACAAATATGGATTGAAATTGCCCAAGAAATGTGCAAAGCTGGATTTGAAGTAGGATCCAAAAAGGAAGGCGGAGTAAGGTGTAGGCAAAAATGGGCAAATTTGCAACGAACATATTATAAATATAAAAGTAATCAAAGAAGTACAGGAGCTGAATATCTGGACCCTCCCCCGTTTTTTGCAGAAATCGACAATATTTTAGGACAAAAGGATATAGCAACACCTAAATATTTAATGCATTCTAGATGCACTACAAATACCCCTACATTTGAAAAGAGAAATAACATTCCCACAACGTCAAATGGTACACAAACTATAGATCAATTTGAAGAACCATGTTATTTGTCAAATATAAGTGAAACGTCGAGTGAAACCTATTTACATGAAACACAAAAAAAAAGTATTTTTGAAAATGTTAAAAAAACTGTTAAATGTTCTGACAAGGAAGTAATTTTAAAAGAAATTTCCAACTTAGTACATTTAACTAATTCACATTTTGAAGAAGTGAAGAATCAAAATGCCGAGCACCACGAATTTATAAAAAATGCAGTAAAAACTGAAGAAAACCAAAGGGCAGCTTTTTTAAAACTTTTCAGTGATTTAGTCAAATCTGTCACAAATAAAAACAAAAGAAAGCATTCAGATGATGAAAGTGAATGATTTGTTTTTCTTTTTAACTTAAGATAAGTTTTCTGAGTTTAAAATTTTCTTTTGTTTATTATTAGGGTAGTTAGACCAGTATTAAGCCACATTTTTTTAAGATACTATTATAATTTAAGATTAATGGTCAGTAGCGGCTGGTGCCCAAACTATTAGCGGTTTACACTGACAGAATATAGGCCTCAGGACAACTTTAAGCAAAAAATGTTTAAATTATACAAATAATGGAAGTTTTTTACCTAAATCTGTACTGAGATCTATATTATTTAATTGTGAACCCCCAATTTTTTGGTTACGAGCTGCTTCTAATGGTTAATCTTTTAAAGTGATAAAATGGTTTTCAATCTGTATATGTGTGGAACAGTCAAATGGAATTAATTTGGTAATAAATAAATGGGGGCGTGTTCGGAAAAACGCTTGGACACATCGATTGGTATTTTTAGTTGCGTATATTTTTTAACAAAAACTTTTTATATGTCATGTAACAATAACCTATACCTACTTTCTTATTTTAAATACAACGCCTTGTATATTTTTCAGTCTAGCTGTCTTAAGAAGACGAATAATACTTGCGATTATATCGGTCACTCCTGATATGTTGAGTAACGTTGGAAGACATTTTTATTTCAGATTAGGATGTTGCCAAGAGGTTCGCGGCATGCATTTTGATGTGTTTTTGTTTTGTTACATTATTAACAAATAAACAATATTACCCATTAGTTTTTAAGTGTGTTGTAATGCATTTCTGTAATCAAATAATTTTATTTTATTAATGTTTATTTTTGCAATAAATCGGAAAACATTTAATATTTCCGAAACAGTTAGGTATAGGATATAGTATATAAAATCTGTTTAGAATTTTCTAAAGAAAATAAAAAGTAGCTTTTGTAAGGGGTTTAACCCCTAAGATACCTTGTTTAGGCGAGGTAATGATGATCAAATAGATTATTGATGTTCTTTATTCTTGCACAACAACATTGATACAAAATCATAAATCCATTCAACTTAAAACCAAACTAACCTCTAAAAACCTGCCTGCCGGTCACCCGCCATGGCTACCGTTCCGTTTCCATATACATATCACCAGTGACAGGCAGTGGCTACAGTGCCGATACCTAATACCTTACACTTTTAAAATAAGAAAGTTGGTATTGGCCACTGTTACATGACACACCCTGTATAAAAAGCTTTCGTTAAAAAAATGCGCAACTAAAAGTTCCGAACACGCCCCCTGTAATTATTACCGAATTTATTCCATTTGGTTGTTCAACAGTGTATATATACTTGATCGCAAAATTAACTGGATAAGAGGTATTTCAGGAAAAATATCATTAACAAAAATCTACATCAAAATAATTTCAATTAATAATGTTATCAAATGTCTGGTTAATTTTGTGGTTCAGTATATTTAGCTTTTATTGTTTTTATCTAAAATTCACAAAATTTTGCATGGTGAGCCCTAAAAAAATATGTGCCACATTGTGGAATTAGGCGAACCTTATAGGTTTTTCTTCGATTTGAAAATAAATTTTTTTTAAACCTTTTCTTAGTTTTTGTATTTTGAACTTAATTTTAATTTGTCAAAATTGAAAGGTAAAAGAATTGGGAGGACATGAAATAATAATGCCTTTTTGAAAAATTATGATATTTATATTCTACTGAGTTCTTTTAAGTACATTGAATACAGTTAGTTTTATATTTTATACGAAATTTTAATTAACGAGGTAACAGTGTGGACCAAAATAAACGTCTCAATAAATACGGGTCCGCAAAGTAACTGTTTCGAATATATGGAAGGTTATTATTTTTTTTTGGTCCATACTGTTACCTTTTTAAATATTTTAAAATCATTCTTTAACATCTCATATATTATGGTCCTGACCAAAACCGACCTTGAACAAAAATCAAACCCCGAGTAATCCTGACATCACTGAATAGTAAATGGGCTATAACAAAACTACAAGTGTGCCGTGCACTAGTACATTAAGGATCTCTTAAAATAACGTACTTTAGTCGAATTTTGTGAAGTCGGTCTTGGACAAGACCAGTTTATAAATATGAGCTGAAGCTCATAGTTGACTTAAATATTCACACACAAGATGTCTTTTTTCAATGCCTGTGACATTTACCTCTCCTTCCTCCTCTTCTATACCAATTTCCTCAACATATAAATCTTTAAAATAGTCGCAATGTAACAAACAAATGTTATGGAGAATGCAACACACAAAAACTATTTTTACAATTTTTTCAATTGAGTAAGCATTTACATATAATAAAATTCTCCAACGTCCTTTCAACAATCCAAAGACATGTTCAATGCAGACTCTTGTTTTACTCAGATAAGTGTTGTACTTTTTTTGTCTTTCAGAAAGCCTTCCATTGTTTCTAAAAACCATGTTCAAATGAAATTATAAGTACTAAAGTTAATTCTTGTCCTCAGTGCATTTTTGCATGCATGAACATTGCACGTAAATTTTCTCTAGTGTATACCACACAGCTGTCAGGCCTCTGCAAAAATGCACCAAAGAACAGATTTCCATATTGGAATACAGTTCATTTCAGAATTATTTAAATAAAAATTTTTGGGTTAATTTTTTGATCTATATAGGGCGAGGTACCCAAGACTACACATAATTAATAATTTCTAGCCTGTGAAAGGTTGCTAAAATCAAAATAAAGCTTACTATAATATTAATATTACTGAATTTCTCATTAAATTATACTTTAAACTTTCCATGTTTACATTGTTGAAGATATTTTTCTGCTGATCAAAAATCAAAATGTTTAAAAATATCCACATTGAAATTATTAATTTTCTTCAGTTTTTAATGCCTTAACATGTATAGATAGTAATGCTGAAACTTACTTAAATGGAACTAACAGCCATTCTTCCAGGGTATAAGCTTTATCGCCAATTAAGTGGTAATTATCATAAAATATATTTTCTGGGCCAAATTCATTTATTTCTATATATAAAGGAGAATTTTGGAAAACCTAAAAATATAGACAGTTCTTATAAATATTATTATCTTTTACATAATAATACTGCAATAATCTACAATAAAAGTCTTTATAAATGATGATTTTACCCTAGCATCATTTGAACGTCCAGGAAATCCTACAAATATATTGCTCAGTAATTTTTCAGATGTACAGATGCCTTGCAAAACAACTGAATGTTGGCACTTTCTATTTTGGTAACTGTCCTGTTGCAATTCTGGAACCTTACACATTATATGGCAACCATCGATGGCACCAATAACTCCTACAAAATAATCAGTTTTTAATTTATATTCTTAGAATCATATTAGGATTATAAAATATCAGCATCTGAATTGTTGGACTAGAATTATTGATACTACTAACTAAACAAATTTCAATTGATTTCAGCTCATTATATTGTTAGAGGAAAATAATACTAATGCTCTTCCTTTTACAGACACCACATTTGAGATATGAATTAACTATTTAATTCTTATTATTCTTAAGGAGTACAAATAAAAATAAAAGTTAATTAGAAGGAAGTTAGAATAAACCTTAGGCGAAAATGTAAAGTGAATTAAAAATATATCAAGGCATTGTAACTATCTTAAATAAATTACCTACATATATGCTCTTTTCATAACATTGCAGCTTCGAGATAACACATTTCATTAGTTTTTTTATACAACAAACATATTTTAGAAAGCAAAATAGAAAATCTGTGACTTACCTGGAAATCCACATATATTTTGAAATTTTTTTACAACTAGATCAGCTTCTGATTTTGAAGGCCATTTAATAAATTGATCCCTAACTGAAATGAATACATTAAGCATCCTCTTCACCACCAGGTGTGTAGTTGTTATAGATACACAAAATCTATCTGCAGTGGAAATATATGTATCCCCTTTTGCAAGAAACCATAACACGATAAGAAGGGCCTTTTCAGAAGTTACAGGCTGCAGTCCTCCATGATGTTTTAAAACAATTTGTTTGTATAAGGGCCCTACTATAACTAGCAATGACTCAAATGTTTTGATTCCCATGCGGAAATGATTAAAAAATTCTTGTTCTGTAAAGTTTTGCATCCACGTCTCATATTGATGTAGAAGATTGGATTTTCTTTGTCGTAAATTTCCAGTCAAGAAAACAATATTCATTCCACTAGTCAAAATATGAGAATAACATTTATCCTCCTCCGAATCGCTAAGACGTAACTTTTTATTTGAGCCAAATAAAATTTCAGAGGCCAAAGCAACTACAACACCAATTTTCTCTTCCTCCATGATCAGCATACAAAACAAATTCAAAACCACATATTAAATACAATGCACATATACAATTTAAAATATCTGACAATGTCATGCGCTTTGTCAAGTAGTGTTAATATACATTTTTAAATCAGATTATTAGAACGTCATTATAATGACGCAAGAACCTTGACCACACTTGACTTGGTCACAATTCTAGTAACTGATTTAAAATTGCCTTTTATTAGGCATTCCAACTACCTGTCAAACAATAGGTGCCAGTGGGAAATTCTTGTATATTTATGGGGGTAACGACATAGTCTTGCAACTTGGACGCTATTTTTATTCGAAGTAGTACTCGCCAAGCCTGCCAATTTATGAAGAAATGTATAGGTGGGTTTTTTAAATATTATTTTTATTGTGTTTGACAAAAAATATTTAAATGTAATCCATTATTCATTATTTTACGTAAAGTAGATAGAATACACCATATATCGCTACCGTTAGATATACCAAACCTGCCCACTAGTAATTCATTTGTTTGGAATGCCTGACATTGATAATGAAAAAATGTCAGTTTAAGCTTGCCTTATTTTTTAGCGACTACCGGTGCAAATGGACCTTAATAATACAAAACTCGGTTACTATAGAACTAAGTATATAACTATATAACTAATAGACTACTATTTTATTATTTTTTTTTCATTAAAGATAGGCCGGAGAGTAAATAAAAATGAGTCCGGTAAAAGCTTTTACCGGACTATCACA